ACCTGAGAGGGCCTTCTGCGGTATGGTCAGTCGACACCCACTATGGACAGAGATCATTGTATCCGCTTGTTTGCAACAACTGATATCGATTTGACAGTTTTTAGATAAATCCCAATCGAAAATTATTTCTCTAGTGGTTTGGTTAGCGCATGGCCTGGATACAGCTTAGAACGACTTTCACGTTATTTAACACATGACGTGATAAATCACATATTCTATGGTATCAGCGTTCAACAGGTGAACAATAATGACGATAAATAATGCCATCAAGCACGGCAGAAACACTTATCGTTAAACTTTATTTTCCCAGTCTCTGAGATAGACTTGATGTCCGCTTTGGAAGGTCTTTGAAGACTGACATAAGCAAAACAGAATATCTTTTGTTGTTACATCTGTGAAATACACTTCGTCAGAAATTAGATGGAACTCTATTGCATACCTGTGACTGATAATTAATAAGCGACTGACATGAACATCACAACGATCGACAGCTGTTTTTGAGACCGTAACGATGCACGGTGTTCGCATTATTCAAAGTATCGGTCTTCCAGTGAAAGTTTTAACTTTCTTTCTGGTATGCAGCTGGGTGTGAGGTATAAAATGTAGTATAATATATTTTTTCCCCTCAAAATAATATTTTTTATGCACTTTGGAAGAATGAAAGACAAGCAAGCGACCGAGCCTTGAACTCGTTGTGAATCTGCCTTTTTATCGACCGAGCAACGTCTCTTTAAGGCAAGGACTCTCCAATTACCCATACGGTGTGAAAAATGGAGCTGTCACCATCCGCATTAATTGAAAAAGAAGACAGGGAAAAGTCTTTTAATCATGGTGTCTATCCCGTGATCAAAGAATGACCACTGAAGCATTGGAACAACGAGAGATTGCCGGCAGCTCGTAATTGAAAATGTCTCGAGGCAGAACGAAAATAAAAGCAGCTACGCTGCTTCCTTCCGCTTAGATTGTCGAGGCTTGTAAAATCCAACTTAATGAAGCCTTCCAAAGTCTTGCTCTCATATCTTCATTTCTCAGATGTATTCACGTGGCATATGCCGAGTGAATGACATCGATTGTGTCTAGTGCTTGAGAGGAAGACTGGTTGCCCCCCCCCACCTTTAAAAGCTGCCATAATCACTTGGGCGTTCTCTTGGATGTATTCCTACGAACGTTTGTCAATAGAATACACATGCACAGCAACTGTCCCTACATTTAAAGGGCATCGAGAGTGCAAATTATCGTGGTATCACATTACTGTCAAATCCGGGTTACCTTCCTTCAGGGTTATCCTGAAATAGCTGCAGCGGTCATTTAATAGGTGTTTTCGCCTAAATCAAACGGGCTTCCAGGTGGAATGCTCATACTGCATAGAAATGTTTACTCTACGATGAGCAATGCCGATGATTCGTCGCCTTGCTTTGCCAATTTCCTCGACTTTAAGGCTGTGTGTGATGCAGTACATCGTCAGACGATATAAAAAATCTTGAAGTGCAATGAAGTACCCGAAGCGAGATGTACGCAGGAACCATGTCTGACCTGATGCCGAGCCATCTGTGGGGTTATCTACTAACTCGAAGTTCGCCATGGATATGTGCCTTTGCGGCTGCTATTCAACACCGTTCAAGACATTCTTCTCTGAAACATTGCGGGTGCTGTCAAAGACAAAGTCTCATTCTAGAGGATGACGCAGTTCAAGATATCCGGCTAGGCATTTTGCTGACCTGGAGTACTCAGATTACTTTATCCTGGTGAAAAGTACGGGAAGCAGGTTCTGCCACCTGATGGCTTCCGTATACAACACTGTTGCGAAAGCAGGCCTCATCCTCAACGCCAGGAAACAGAAAGTTAGGAGGGATCCAACCGGCACAGCTGATCTAAAAATTGACCACGGAGGTGAAGTCTTTTAGGAAGTTGACCAACTTAAGTACCTCAGCTCTCTCGTCATCTCCAGCGATAACACCATTTAGCCAAAACTGAATAGGAGGATTGCCTTAGCCATGTGTGCTTTTGGAAACTTGACCAATATTGGGGTTGAGAAAGCAATACTTCTTTCCATTTGCCTCCACCGTACATCTGTCAAGTCATTGTCATTGTTCATCGTGAAGGCAGCTGTTATAGCTTTATCCATAATGACAATCTAAGTGCATTCTACTGTGTCGATTTCGACGAAAACGCAATTGAATGGCAGAACCGCATAATGAATGACTCTATATCCTTCTCTGCACAGGTGACCTCGTTAGAGGCAGAGATTAGGAAAAGGAGGTTGACCCTGATAGACAAACTGATTGAGCATAAACGATTTGCTCCATTCCTCATGTTTCTCATTTGTAAGCCGGACTTTTGCAGACGTCGACGAGAAGACCAGCATACAATATAGAGGAATAAGGTATAGGTAGATCTGCTTTTAGATATGAATATTACTTTGGTCCCTATCGTTGTTTCATTATCATTGTCATTATTAGTGATTTTAATCCTGTTAGATGAAGGCCTATCCAACATATTGCCGTTGTGATTAGTGAAGGATAAATGGAATTGCAATGATTATGATGTATCGCTGCTTTATGGAATCTTCCCATCACCTTAACCTGAACGACATTGAGTGTTGTTCTCGCTTCTGAAGCGCTACCGCGTATTTTGCATCGTGCAACAATATCTGACTAACAGACGTCTTTAGCCATCGTATTTAGCATAATTTTTTTCTATTTTACATCAACCTTTTATCCCCCTGTATCGCCAATTATCTGTCACTGTAGACAAAACATTGTATCAATATTTCTTGAATATGGCTTCTTAATTAAGTGAACTTCAATAGTCCAAACTGTGATAGATCCTCTGTGAACATTGAACGAATGAAGAATTCTTTCCCGCAGTTATGTACCTCTTTAACAACGATCTGTATGGGCAGGAATGGATGAGGATAGAGGATGAGAAATGAGTGATATTGCAGATTGTTATACGGGTCAAATGAATTGCACATGTTGAATTTACAAATCAATTCTGAGGTCAATCGGTGTTCCGGCAACTTATGCCTATAATAATGGCTAGTAGAGACTAGGGTGTGAGTGACGATATACATGATATATGCAAGTGTCTAAGTAAAATGGCTTGTCCGCAGTTGCACCTTTGTTCTATTCAGCATATTCATTACCAGTTAAACCAATGATCGTCCTTAATATTATATTAACATAGTGCAGTAGGCCGTGCAGACCTTAATTACAGTTACGTTCCCCTGTCCGAGCGATGAGAGCAATATGTGAGGAACGTAGCTGTGGGAAGCATATTCTTGGAAAAGTACTTGTGGTAAACACGGATTGGCTGTAGCGCTCGAAAAACAGGTTCCGTTGTTGAAGAGGCTTGCCGTGTAAACTATCAGGATGTCATCTGTTGTGGACTTATGCCGTGTCGCCTGCTTGTATTCATAATGAAAAAAGAAGTGGCACGTTCCATCAGCGGTCTGTCTCACCCCCAAATGCGGACTGATCTTCAAATGGCATACCGTCACCGCAGCAGAACCGCTCGGCAGGCAGCAACAATAGAATAATAACTTATCATCGCTGACGAGCAATGAACGGCAATCACGCCAATAAGTCAAGATGGCAGAAATTGAAAGATGTTGATTGCGTAAGTTCCTGTCAGTGGCTTCTGCTTTCTACTAAACAAAATTATGACTAGCGTCGTTAGGGCTGATCGAATCAAATGAGAGCGGAATCAAGCCAAACCTCAAGTCAGCCTCGTTTCTGCATTCCGGTATGCCGAGGGAACTGTCTGTCCAGAAAGCAAGCGATTTTTCTGTCGCTCGAAGCTCACCCTCACCCTTGGACAGCCGTCTCAATACCAACTTTCAAGCAAGGCACTGTTGGAACGGGCCTTAATAACCGGCACCGTCTTAGTTTGCAGTCAGGCAATACTTCGGCAGTAAAATGGCGCCGTCCAATCAGAAGCGAGGAACGACTTATTTTATGTGCTTTGAAAGTCGTTGAGGTGTGCAACATGTGCGAAAACTACCCGATCGACGATCTAACCGAACGACCGTGAAGCTGTTAATTTGGACAGCTGTAAAGTCTGTGCGAACGAGTTCCGTTAGGAGAGGGTCATCACTGTTGGCGTTGGCTGTTTTGACTTACAAGCACAGAGAAGTTCGACAGTCGGTTGATCCATGGTGAACGCTTCGGGGTCTTGAAACGTCTTAGACGCTGGCCTCCGGAGGGGGGGGGGCTAGCAAGCTTCGAAGCACTCGAGGACCAATCAATCCTAACTCAAACCCGGAACGGCTAAAAATTTTATCAGCGCTTCATTTGTAACCGTTAACCGGTATCAGTTACCAAATAGACTTTCCACTACTGATGTGGTGTTACGATGGTTGCAGTACGATCACCAGAAATCCCACGGCTCAGACCATTGTACTGAG